TTTAGGCTCTAGTAAGATGATCCTACACTTATTTCGTGCTCTTTTAAATCTGGCGATAAACTGAGTAGCCTTCTCATCAGGCCTTTGACTCAATCTTGTCAAGTCTGCCATGGAAACCTCTAGCTCTGTTTGGAAGAATTGGGCATGAAATGCCTCTTCCATTTGTTGCCAAGTTTGGATGGAGCCAGGTGTAAGGTTAATATGCCATACAAAGGCTGCCTCAGTTAGAGAATTTGGGAACAATCTTAACTTCATATAGTCATTGTTAGTAAATTCACCACACTGAGCAGCGAACCTAGCAATATGTTCAACCGTTGACTGGTTTCCATTCCCATAAAAAAGAGCGAAGTCGGGTATTCTAAACCCCATTGGGTATTCATGTACCCTATCTACCCATTCTGGATATGGCTTCATGTACACAGGAGTTTGAACCCCCTGAGCCATTGGTCCACACATTTCTCTAATAATATCAACAATTTGGTCCCTATGGACCATATTTTGTGCTTGTTGAACCACTACCGGAGGAACAAACATAGGATTTGGTGGACAACCTTATGCTTGGGGTCCTCATGGTCCATAGGGTGGTATGTTTGGGACTGGTTGTCCCTGTGGTGTTGGCTGCTGTTGAGGGTATGGATGACCTCTCTGAGCCTGTCCTGCAAAAGGACTTGCGAAAGGTGCTGGAACAGATGTTGTGTCTCTTCCGTTTGTGGGAAAACCTTCCAACCCCTCGGGTACAAATTCGAATAAAGGGTTAATGAACCCCCTTGTGCTAGGTATGGCTTCGAATATGGGATTCGGAATTATCCTTATGCCATTTTCTTGTACTGGACCAGATCTACCAATTTGCATGGCTTCACTGTTAAGTAATGAGGCATTTTGACTTGCCATAGGCCTCGAAATAGGTTCATACCAAGACTGATGTGATGGTCTTTCATAGTTTTGATTACTAGTTTGACCATTAGAATGTCCATTAATTTGCATAGGCTGTTTATCTCTAGCCAATCTTTGGCTGAGGGACATTTGGAATTTCCTCCATGTGTCTTGTGTTTGTTGGTTGGTGGGTATTCATTCGATCCAAAAATGATGTTGCCCACCTTTCCAATGTGTTCATTAACTGCTGTCTCATGGCATCTACTAGGCCACCCCATGGATTCATTGGCTGAGTAGACGGAACAGTGAATGGTCCAATTCCTTGGCCTCGTCCAATATTATGAACATGTGGTATTTGTTCCGAAGTACTGGTCTATTCGACCATATATTCTAACAAAATGGGTGTTTCCACAGGATATGTTATCACATTATCCTCTGGATTAGGTATTTCTACCTCTCCTTCCACGCCTTCTTCCAAGCGTTCATTTTCTCCTTGTCTCCTACGTCTAGCCATTTCAATTAGTCCCACTGGGCGTGCCAATATATGTTGGCTTTTTGGCTTTCGAAAGTTATTTTTGTAATTATGAGCATTCCAACAAGGATCAATCAGTCCTTACAGAAATTTAATTGCCAACCAATCATCAGACGATTGCGTTTTAGTTCTTTCAGCCTCAATGAAGAGGACCTTTACTGGTGGCTTTACTTAAGAGGAATAAACTAACAATGATTAAATGAAGAACAATTGTAGTACTTCATTAAGTAAAACGAAAGACTTATAATGATCCAATTCAGCCTCGTAGAGGTTCACAGCAACAATTTACTTGAAACTATTCCTATGAACGAAGTGCAGTGCAAGAATTTTAAAGTACAGAAATACAAAGAACAGGAAATGTAAAACTGGAAATGAAATAAAGTAGATAAAACTAGTTTTTTTGATCTGAGTCTGGGCCTTTTTCTAGGGCCTTCTCTACTATTTATACTTCTCAAGGATAGCCGTCGAACTGCACTTCTAACCGTCAAACTGCTCCTCATGATCGCTGATCATGTTGTCTTATAATTAGCTCCATTATGCCAATACCTACAGTTAGGCTTCCCTCTTGATTTTGAATTTAAATGTGAGTAACCGTTGAGGCCACATCACTTTGCATCTCCTTACTGATCCAGTACTACGCAGATCTCATGAAAACCAATACTAACTGTCACGTGTACGATCACGATCGAATGTTTGAATTGTCTTCCCGTATTGCCCTTATTTTGCCACGCATCGAACTGTGACTGGCCCATACAAAATATATAGCCAACAAACCCACAAAACAATCTACACTAATCAAAACAAATTCCCAAGTGATGCACTTCCAAAACAACTGCACCCAATGTTGCACTCTTCATTTCTGAGACAACACCAACACACCTCCCATGGCTGAAAGCTCCATGGCCAGAAAACTCCCTTTACTGAAAACTATGGGGATTCAAGTTCGAGAAACAACCTAATGAGCAACTTGGTACATGGCCAAGCATCATGGTGCGGGGCAAAAAAAAAAAACACATCAAGAAAACTAAAAATCTAAACGAGAAAATGTGAGAAATCTATGGGGATTCAAGTTTATTAGAAGAAGTGCAAGAAATATAGACTATAGTATAAATATAGACTATTTGTATATGATCCGGATCGATTCCAATCCGGAACTGTGGGGTTCAATCCGGAACTGATCCGTTACCTACAAATTTTTAAATTTCCAATCCGAAACCGAAACACAAATTCAAAAAACCAATCTAAACTTACCTGATTAGACTGGACCGGATCGAATTATAGATTATAAGGATTTCTTGCTCAACCCTAACTAAATCAGAAGAATCCTCCTTGAAGCACGTGCAAAAAAAAGTTTGGGCCAAGCCCTAAAATAACTTAGTCTTATCATATTTTGAATCTCTCAAATTGATTATTTGGGTTTGATCGGCTGATTTCGAAAATTTAAATTATTTACTTTTTAATATTTGTTAAGTAAAACATTTTTGTAAAAAATTAATAGGATTGAATATCGGTCACTAGATGTTTAAATCATATTTGTTTTTAAAAAATAAACGATAACTGTAATTTTAAGAATAATCATTCATTATTTATAATATAAATGTGATTCAAACATCTTTAGTGATTGATATTCAATCATCCTATTTTTCATGAATATTCTATACAATAAATTCTAAAAAATGAATAGTTCAGATTATCGAGATTACCTCAAAATTGATATACTAAATCTAAATATTCTTTCAAGTTAAATGACCAATTTGAAATAATCCAACCCCATATCATATAGTTTGGGCTGAATTAAAACAGTCACATAAGAAGAAGAGACACACATCTCCCCATCAATGTGGCGTTGTCTCATATTGGACCACATTTTGAGTTTGTATCATGTGGGGACCCCTACCCCTTTATTCACTCTCTAATTAACATTAGAAATTATTTAGTAGCTACAAAACATTACAGGTCTGAGTGTATAGATGGCCACACAGAGCGGGTATGCCTTTTTCCGTCCCTGCCTTCGCTTTTAAATTCCACTCCCGCCCCTGCCTCAACCCTGCTATGGGTAAAAAAATTTAACCTCATCTCTGCCCCCGTAGATGCTCGGTATCCACAGATACCTAACCACATTTTAAATTATCAAAAAAATTAAGAACTATTTAAATCTTTAATATACTAAACAATTTTTTTTTATTTCTATATATATAAACAGTAAGACTTTTAAGATTATTATTTATTTATATTTAAACAGCACTACAGACTTTTAGTATTTCTTTTTTTATATCTAAGTATATTTTATATTTTATATATACATATATATTATTTATTTATATTATTAATTATGTCGGGTTAGGTTTGGATTGGGAAAGATGATACTCGCACCGCACCTCCATTGTGGGTGACCAAAATATAATCTACCCCCACCCTACACAAGTATTAGGTCAACTAAAATACGTTACATTCAGGTGAGCATAGGCGAGCCCGTAAATCAGATTAAAACGAGCATCCCGATTTGAGTGTTTTTGAATGATATTTTATAATTTATTTACTATTTTCTTGTCTTTACATTTATCGAAGACACTTTTTCTATCTTAAAAGGTTTATATTACAAAAGAGCTCTATGTATTTTAAAAAAATATCTAATTCGATATTGTAGTATAACTTGGTTTGAAGAAGCATTTCACCTATTTAGAATAGGTTTATATAGATTGAGTCTTTATTTTTATTTATTTGTTAATCTAGCATACTTTTCACTTTAAATTTGTAAGCTCCACTTATTGAATAGTTTGTGACAATTTTCATTTTGTAATTTAATAACCCTTGTTAAAAAACTTTAAATGAACTCCAATACTAATAATATTATTTGAATTTATATTTAAAAATAAAAAATCTATCATTCAAGGTTTCACTTTAGACCTCACTCAAGTTACACCAACTATGTTAGAGAATTGCGTTCAATTCTGTAATTTTCTAATATCATCATTTTAGTTGAGCCCGTCCTTGATCTAGACCACAAGATAATTTTGTTATCATCATATTAATTGAGCTCATTCTCACTCTAGACCACAAGATGGGATGGGCTGGTAACCTGGCATTAACAACAAAATTAGTATAGGAAGCCAGGGAGATCCAGCTCAAAGCATTTAGGATTTTCAGTCTCTAAAATCGCTATTCCTAATACACCTTAATCTTGCAATAGGAAAGAATTCTCAAAACACAAGCTCAAATAAAGAGAAGGACAAGGACAAAATTTTGGCCTCTAATCGTGCAGCTACAACTCTTACCCGTTGTGTGGATCTACATTTGTTGATGAAAATAAAAAAATACAAGAAAAGCTAAAAATATTCACTTTTGTTCGGTTGCACTAAGAAAATAAATGGACAAGTAATTTCATTTCCATTTCCTTTTCCTTCCCCTCAACAACAAATCCATGTACGTGGCACCTGTAATTTCATTTCCTCTCCTATTGCAGGCCAAGTAAAGCCTCATCCCAAACACAGCTCAACCTCAAATAAGTACATCCATTTCACAATGCACTCATTACTCTCATATTTAACCATACAGAATGGATCACTTATTAATAACCAACAATGACTTCAAAAAATTCTAGTAATGCCATCTTTTCATGGAACTTTCATTTTATTAAAAATACATCCTTTCATCCCTCTGGTATAGAATTGTTCATTGTTCAACACACCAACACGGTTCAAACTTCTCAATTTCTCTAACCTCAAAACTAAAACAAAAATCAAACAAGAAACTGTTGGGGGTTCAATAAAGCCTCATAAAAAGCTCTCTAAATTGGGAGAACCGGCCCCAGATAAAAGAAGGGGAATAATGAAAACCGAGAACTGATGAGATTCCACCTCAGACCACAGGAAGCTCACCACATTCGCTGATGATCACCTTCTTTCTGGGCCGATCACCTCTATCAGTCTCTTGTGACTCAATCAGCTTAACTATGTCCATGCCCTCCAAAACTTGCCCAAACACTACATGCCTTTGATCCAGCCACGGTGTCTGTCATTCACCAGAGAGATAAAACACAAATATTAAGCACACATCAAGTCACCTAGTTTGGTTGGGTTTTCAAAATCTGCTTTCTATTTATTTATTTTTTTAGTAGTTTGTAAAAAAATTCAAAAAATAAAAAATACTCATCATTTTCATATGTTAATCTCTTCTTCGGAACAAAAAATAATTTTTCAAAATTTAAAATATTTTGTTGGTATTTATTTTTGTCAAACTAATTTCGATTTTTTAAGGGGGGAAAAACACAAAAAAAAAAAAAAAAAAAAAAAAAAAAAAAAAAAAAAAACATATTTTGAAAACTTAACCAAATAGGAAACTCTCAAACAAGATTTTGCTTGCTAGACCTACAAGATTTGAATGCATTTAAGCATTGTCTTTGCCATTATTCAGTTGAAAATCAAGTGTATTTTAATTTGACAATATTGGCTATGCCGGCAATAGTGATGCCACAATAAAAGTTAATTGCTCAAGGAAGCAAACAACAATCCAAAGAATGAATTAGATTTTCCAAGTACCTTGACGGTGCATATAAAGAATTGGCTCCCATTGGTGTTTGGGCCTGCATTTGCCATGCTAAGAACTCCAGGTCCAATATGAGACACTGCAAACAATCAACATTTTCAGATATTTATGTGGAAATTGAATTTGTGTACTATCCTTGGTTTGAGAAGAAAGATGGTAGAAGGGCAACATGACATGATAACAACATCACAAATATGGTTTAAACACAGTTAAGAGTCTTCTCAACACATAAGATAGTCCTGAAAATCTAATCCTCTTAATTTATCATCTGTTTGTTCTTAACTATATCTATGTATAAATGAAAATATCGCATTTTTTTCCATTACAGATACATTTATATGTTAACATATCAAAATAGTAAGAAATCATTTTTTCACAATTTACATATCGGAAAAAAAAAAAAAAGTGTGAAAAACAATTCCGATATCTATTTTAGAATGATCCATTTCATAGACAATGGGATTTTTGAGTTTTTAGAATTCCTAAAATTAAAAGTCCAATAATGTGTAAATTCACAATTTTTTATTTATTATTGAATCCTAAGTCATTTTCCTCACACATACAATGTGTTTAATGTGTATCATGTGTCCCTCAAGTGTTTGAAACATGTCTGGTTCTAAAAAAAAAAATTAAAAATAATAGAACATGGTGCCCGATAAATGTCGGTGCTCGACACATTTCTGATACAGGCACAACACCTTAGAGATTTCGTGCTTCTTAGCGTATCCCATACCATTACTCGAGTATCAAATGTCCTACACAGGTATTTCACACAAACATAACCCCCTCCTACCAGTCTAACATAAGTAGGAAGGATTAGCTTACACTTGAAATTCTCATCTTTGAATGTACGGCCATATATACTTTTACCACCAGTTCCCTGCAGTAGTGATCCAAGAATGAAGGATTAGCCTTTGACAAGATATGTTACTAACAAGAAATTCGAAAGGGCACAAGTACATAACACAAATTATACCATACATGTGGTAAACACTGCATTTTTTTAACCAGAGGTCCAGAATAGGAAACAGAGGCAAAAATAGCAGCAGCAGATAAAACTCAATGAGAGATCCATATGCATGAACCCAAGTGCAACTAAAAATATTGACTAGAGAGAGAGAGAGAGCTTAACGGATAGTCAAGTAATTTCATCAAATCCAATGATGACCATGATGCCACAGGTTGGCATGATACCATAGGACAGAGAGGTATTACCATTTCATATTAAAGCTACAGAGAAGATGACTTAGAATTGGTGACAATTATTCCATATGACATCAGTGCAACATTTATTCCACAAATCTTAATAGTAGAAGCTGCACCTTTCAACCCCAAATACCTCAAATTACAATTCTACAAGCTAGAGCCAAGAGAAACTTTAAGAAGGGGCCTACATCTGGACTCAAACGTGTGCAAAGAATTTAAGCCAATACATTCTCAATAACATCCCTATGTAAAACACTAAATCATGAACCATAACATCTCTTTCACTTGGAATCTTCTTCTTTTTTTTCTTCAGACATATTCTTGTCCTAGCAGAGCCTTCAAGTTCAACCATCTCGCTTGCTGGTGTAATTTTGTGTTTATACACAGGACCAACAGTTATCGCCAAGTAATTGTTAGAGTGAATAAGTCAGAGCATCTAGAAAATCAAGCAAGAGTTAGTTAGGACACATCAGCAAGATTGGTTAGTTACCAGAGCAGTTAGTTTGTTAGAATTGCTGTAACAAGTGCTTGCTTCCTTGTATGACATGAAGGACAGAGAATAAGACTGATTTTTTCCAATTTTCCCTAGCTTTGAAATTATTGTCATTAATCAGTTCACAGAGACTAAGTGGTGTTTCCTCCATACTAAAAGAAAGTTATGAAATCACCAAATGACTCAAGCAGAATCTTACCCATTCACCTAGAAATTATTACCAAAGGATAAAAGAGAAGAAAGAAAATTCTACAATGTCCAAATTTTTCCAAGATTCATACTTAACCTATATCAAACATGAATGCTATGTTTTAATTACCTAATGTTCTGTCTGCTACTTGTCTCTTCGAGCCAATTTGGCATTCAAAAAGTTCATATCATTTGAATCTACATACAAGGCAATTTATTTATAGATGCCAAGAAAGCCTAAGGACATTGTACAGTGCAGATAGTGTCCAACAGATTGGTGCTGGGTGTTGGTGCATATCTAAAGGTCAGACTCGTCAAATCTCAAATTAAAGGGTACACGTACTCGGAAAAAAAATGAGTCATATTTTTAATCTATTATGTAAGATAAAATGGTACTATATGTAACATACAATGTCAAAAACGTGCTTTATAGCAATTATACAACAAATGATACATATAAGCTAGTGTTAAATACAAACATATGAGAAGTGTCCAATAGAAAATATCGGACACATCCCACACATCCCATCTGACATGGGTATTTGATTTATTTTTAAGAATCATGTAACACAGGTTCCACAAGTTTATAAACAAGCAATGCAAAACAACCAATATTCATATTCTAATAAGGGCTCTATTGCATACTGATTTCTGTAAATAATGGATTTTTTCCTTTCAAATGGTACACATTGTCTTAAAATGAACAAGATACTACTTTATCGATAAATAATGCATAGACTAGAATATTGAAATGTCAAATGAAGAGAAGTTTAATTTCAAAATATCTACAATACCACCTGAGGTTATAGATTCACTTTGTGCAAAGTAGTTTTCAAAGTTATCAATAGATATTATATGAACAAAATGGCAAAACAAAATTAAAACAAGAAACCAAATTCCAAATATGGAGGCGATACACAAAGAAAAGAGACGCAAATTATAGACATTGCTCATGTTAAAAAGATCTTGCAGTAAAATTTAATTGTTAGTATGATTGTGAGAACTGATAAGAGATGCAGTTTCTACAATTACTAGCTAAAGAAAGCAATATGCTTAGTATAAATTTGCCGAACAGGCTCTTGACTGACATTAGCATTAATCATGTGGGTTCAAACTTGACAAAAGATATTACAGACAAAACTTTATCAAATTGTAATTTGTGATTGTAGAACACAAAATCAATGGAAAAGCAAGAAGCACCTACATTTCCTTTATCGAAGTCTCCTCCTTGAATCATAAAGTCCTTGATGACACGATGAAATGAGGAGCCTTTGAAGCCAAAGCCTTTCTCTCCTGATTAATATTAAAGCAAATCAAAATGCATTTAAAAGCTGAGTTAGTCAGACAACAAAAAGAAGCAGAAACACATAAACAGAACATCATAATACACCACCTGTGCAAAGAGCACGGAAGTTCTCTGCAGTTTGGGGAACATCATCTCCATACAATCCTATCACAATCCTTCCAGCAAGCTTTCCCACTGGATTCCCAATGCTTACATCAAAATATACTTTCTGGGTTACTTTTGATTGTAATTCTGCAACCTGGAATTGAATACAAACATATTTGGAAAATACTGTATATAGCCCTAGAGCCTTCTATATTTGCAATATTCTCTGTGGAGGACAAAATTGAACATCCTTTTGCCCAAAAAAAACTCTCAATAAATTAATTAAACCAAACTTAACATCAAGCAAACATGAAAAAGTTATTGAAATGCAACAAATTGGGCATTTGAGCAGCATTGAGAAGCCTCTGGCAATAATATTGGCACAAAAAGCCAAACCAAGATTGATTTTTCCAATTCTCAGCACGAAGGACACTAAAAGCTCAATTTGAAAGCTAGAATAAATATAACAAGTTAATAACACAACTTTTGACATACTGGTTGAACTCACCATTCTTTAGGGCATCTTCAATCCTGGCTCAAACCAATATCAAATTTAAATTTGGGTAAAAATAACTCAAAACACACTCCATTCCTTGACCCAAACATATACCAAATTGAGTTTTACTGAAAAATTTACTCAAACTATGAGAGACTAAAATATACTCAAAATTTTCAATACTATTTTGTGACTCAAATTTACCACTATGCCAATATTGAAACTTGTACTCAAATTTATGCTAAAATCTAAATTTTCATATGAAACAAAATAAAGCAGTTGGGATAGGACTAGCTTATTTTCCATTCCTTTCTAGTCCGTTTTCTTAGCAACCAAGCGCATAACATAGAAAGTAGAAAGGAAAGTAACTGACCTCAGCAATGGCCCGAACCGAGCTAGGATTGCCAGTTTTCCTCTGAAATGAAGTCCCAGACGAGTACGGGAGGGGAACGAGACGCAACGACCTGGAGAGCAAGCTCGACGACGATAACAACGATGATGACGTATCTGAGGGCAATGTAGAAGCTGGAAGCTTTTTAGAAGTACAGGAGGGGCTTACAAGGTTCATCTGCGAGAGGCTTCGAGAGCATGAGAACGAGCCAATGTTCGACTGCGCGGGAGGAATTCGTGAATTAGTTCGAAATTCAGAGATAAGGAATTGGAAAAAAAAAAAATTAGTTCAGATTAGAGATTAGGGTTTTACATACCAGAGCTGTAAATGGAACTGCCATTGATGGAGAGGTGTGAACACGAAGCCTATTGAGCTTTTCAAGTCTCTCTCTCTCTGTCTCTCTGAGCTAGTTAAAGGATCTTTTTGGTGGCTTGGTGAGTGTAGCTGAGGGAGTAGACAGAGAAGAAGGAAGTCGGTGACGGAGATGCCGAGTCTGAAATTTCTGGAATAGCATTTGGGGGTTTCTTAAATGACAAATACGCCCCTTGCCCGTTTGTAATGAGAATAGGAGAAATTTTTGTTTTCAATTTAAGTGCTTTTGTGTTAAAAATTAAAGTAAAAATACTTTTTTAGTTCTAATTTTTTAGTTTTAAAGGCAGTTATAATGAGCTGGTAATGAGTCTCGCTTATTACGACGTGTTACCATGAGTATTCTATTAGAATATTAAAATTAATACTTTGAATCATTGTTGAAAATTAAATTAGGATCAATTATACATATGTTCCTGAGATTTCTGATAAATACATAAATATTTTTTGTAATTTCAATAATTATAAAAACTTCATTTACTTTTAATGACGATATCATGATTCTCCCAATTAGTTAATTTAGCACAAATATTGTTACTTTTCTATTCAAAATGACCATATTACTCCTTTGAACTAATAAGTTATTTAAATAAAAAATTTCAATATATATTATTAAAGCTCCATACATATTTTAACTTAATACCTTAATAGTTTAATTTAAGACCCTAATAATTAATACAATACTTATAAGACTTATTCCATACTATATATGATGATCGAGTATGTAATTCGCCTCATCCTCTTTGAGTTATGTTAGATTTACTCTTATTAGAATGTCGGGTTTTAATGTAAGGACTTGTCAACTGTTGGGTTTGTTATTTTTGAAAACTTTTTCCCAAAATTTTCGATCTTATTTATTTCAATTCCGAGTTTCACTTGTTCCGAAAGGTGCGAGCTTGGATCCAGGGTGTCACAGGTCGAGTTGGGAAATTTTCTGGTTGGGAGGCAGAACTGCACGTGCAGGGGCATTGTCACGCCCCAAAATTTGGATAATTAAATATTAAATTAGGACTAAACCCCTATCAATATTCCATCATCCAAATCCTAGGGGTGAAACTAAATCTAAACCTTTACGTCTCTATAAGGTTTAAGTAAACATCAATGCTCAAAAGATTACAAGGAAAAAAAAAAAAAAACTAACAAATGCCCACCAAACTATCTATCATAAATTCATAACAATCAAATACTTCAACATTAAGGTAGCAACAACTAGTCAAAACAACTTAAACAATGTAAAGTTACAAACCATGCCAAAGTATCAAAATACTAAGGTCAAAAAAAAAATAATAATTACATAAACTAATATCAACCCTAAGCTTAAGAAAACAAAAGAAGTCCAAACGACATGTCCAACAACTATAGTTATTCCACGTCACCACCGTAACCCCAACTAATCCTGTAAAGGAAGTTGGTTGCGCTCAAATAGAACGCACCCAAGTTGTCAAGAGACAAAACGAATCAATATACAGGTATACTGGTATGAGTACAAGATTTAACACCCACGTATCCACCAGACACAAACAAAAATACATTTAATTCTTGTTACTAGACAAGACAAGTAGTTTCATCCGCACCGAGACGAATGGGTAGTTTCTCGAGATACGGTGGCATTTAGTTTCTTACCCATACACTACAAAATATAAATTGAGTATAAAATAAACAAAATAAAAATAAAAATATAGTGGGTCAGCCCTGCATAAAAAGTTAATAAAACCCACCATCCTGCAAAAAAATAAAGGTAGTATAATTTAATCATAATTAACTTGCTAAAGAAGTATCAAAATGTATCGTTTCATACTTAAATAATTTGAATTTACCAAAACTTAAAGAACACAAGTTGTACAGAATCAAATTTTTTTAAAAGCAACGTGAACGAATTTATAGAAACTGAACAGGTTGAGAGAAAAAAATTAATATAAAATCCTAAACGAAATTCAATTGAAAAATCTAGAACTGAAAACGGAAAGATTGCCCTAAGATGAATTTTTTCGAAAAAGTTCAAAACACGAAAAGTGTTCAGAATAATGTTTTACTTCAGTTTACGCGAAATCAATAAAAATGAGTTCGTTTCGTGGGTTAAAATAGCCTCTAAAATCTGCATTGCTAAAATGAATCAAAATTACAATAACCAAGATCATCAGATTATAAGTTCTAATCGATCTTTTTAATAAAAATCTAAAACACAAAAATTGTCTAGAATCACGTATACATGCCTCTGCTCCAATTGCATAATTTATCGAGGTTGTTTACTATTTTTCAAGATGTACAAATCAATACAATTCAAACCATACATATAAGTTCATATTTAATTCTTTGTACCTTAACTTCACCACTTCGCCCTTTTACTTCCGACCTACACATATATCTCATGTGCCTCCTGTATACCTAACACCGCTCCGAAGCCAAACTTGCACGGGAATATCGTCCCGAATTTGACTCACATTCCCCAGATGGTTAGCATATACGTACACGCGTAAATCAAAGCACTCGTCTACTCATGAGAACGAGGCAACAATATATACACACAACATCTCACTCATGAGAACAAATATAACAATGTCAAGCCTAAGGCATTCAAATAAATCTCATAATTCTTACTTTTTTTTTTATACACTCTTTACCCCTATATCCACCATCAAACAATAGAATAAAAAACAAAGACAGAGAGAGAGAAAGAGGGAGAGAGAGAGAGCACCGAATCAGTGAGCAAAGACGAGCGGAGAAGACTGGCAAGGCAACTCTCTCTCTCTCTTTCTTTCTTTCTCTCTTTCTCTTTCTATCCCCACTGCACAGCATGCAACCCTCTTTTTCTTTTTGTTTTTTGTTTTTTGTTGGCAGCACTCTTATAAGGACCTAATTAATGATTATATTGTATTTTATTATATAAATATAATATAAATAAATATGCTTTATAAAACTAATACATATAATACTTTATATATATATATATATATATAAAATATATATATAAATATTTAGATTAATTATATATAATTAAATATCACATTAAATTCTCATATAACCACACAATTAATAAAGTCAAAAATAAAATAAGATAATAATAATAATAATAAATAAAGGCTTACGAAAAATTAGGGTTGCTACAGGCATGGGCCACACGTGCAGAGTGGGGGTCGCACGTGCGTAGAAGAGAGGGTTGTCAGTGGTGGTGCATTCTGCTTTATATGCACCAGCGGAAGGAGGTGCGGGGAGAGTGTTGCATGTACGAGGGTGAGATTCGCATGTGCAGATGGGGGTGCCGCACGTGCGGGAATGGGTGCCGCACATGTGGGAGTCCACTGAGTCCAAAAATCTGTCTTTTTCTCTTCTTGGACTGAATGTATCTAACTTTTTACACATCTCTCTCTCTCTTTAAAAATATCTTTTCCTCTCTCTTCTCTCTAAAAACCTCCATCAAACACTATAAACCCTTTATTTCTTCCAATCCATTGGAGTTTTGACCCAACATCCTTCATTAATTTTGGAGAGCTAAGCAAGGGTTTCGTTGTGTGTGGTGAAGATCGAGTTTCGACACCGTTGGATTTGGGGCTTTCATCTCTTTTTCCTTCAAGAACTTGAGGTAGGGATTTTCTTAGAGTTATATATATTTTTTTATAAGATTATGTTGATTTGGAACTCTTTTGAGAAGTATAGAAACTTTGATTTTGGCTCATGTGTGTTGATGATTTTAAAAGTGGGTTTACACCTTGTTTTTTTTTTTTTTTTTTAATTCTTGAGAGCTTGAACTACATTGTGAGAAAGGATGCTTTGGAGAGATTTTTCTTTCAAAAGATGAGAAAATGGCTAGTTGGTGAAAACCTAGAAATTTGGGAAATTTTTTTGATAGAAATTGAAAACTTATAATTTTACCCTATAAAGTGTTAGAATGAATGAAGGATTAGGAAATTCTTATTGTTGTATATATATATATATGAAAAAGCCCGTGGAGTGTATGAAATAGTTGTTTTGAAATTGTTATTCAAAAATGTGAATATAGTCATGAAATGATTAAATTGTTAAGGATGCATGAAATGTTAAAGTGTTGCTACCCTTGAATAGATATAAATTATTATCTGTTTATGTTGTGAGATTGCATCGAAAAGGGAAATGGAAATTGTGAATCGAAATGGAGGAATTGTGTGGAAATGTTGCAAGTGGAAGACTATTATAATTGTGTTGATATATGTTGCATTGGTATTTTAATTTATTTGGTTGTTAAAAATTTTGAATTTGAGATTTGAAAACATTTGCATTGAGAAAGGAATGTTGTGAAATAAGATATCATTGAAATGTTTTGGGTTAAATACGTTGGTAAGTCCGGATAGGGAATGTAGATGAAATTGATTAAGTTGGCCTGAGTGTCCAAGGTGAAAGACTGAAAACACATGCGGAGGAGGTACCACGTGCCTTTCAGTTAGCTACCAGTAAAGTGAGGGTTTTGATAGTGCTAGTTATGCCTACTTGCAGACACCAACCTAGGGATTACCTGAGTCATATTTACCGCCCCTTTGAACTTGATTTAAATTGTTGAATTTTGTTGAAATTTTAAGATTTCATTGTGCATGATGGTTTTCAAATGATGAAGATAAGACTTTCTTTTAAAGGCATTGCATAGTATGTACATTCCATTTCATGAGACTTGTATAAAATGTATATAATTTGTTAAGATTTTCCTATTGGGCTATGCTCACCCTATAAGATTTTGGTACAAAAAAAAAATGTGGTGATTCCGCCAAACTAAATGCGTGGATATATGTGTTGAGAGCACAAAGCTCTTGTTTTGTTGTGATTGTAAATTTTTTACAAGCCAAGGGCTATACTTGTATGGGTTCGAGTAACCATTTTATGTAATCAGGCTTAAACCTCAGAGTTTGTAGCCCTTGAGGGCACTTATTTATTTTGATTAGATGTTTTACATGCTATAAATTCATGTATCGAAGTCATTGAATGTATATCCGCATGTGGGACTATTTTGTAAACACCTTATGATCATGTATTCAAGTGTTGGAGAACTACTTCTGTTATCATAAAGAGCGGTGGTTGATGTACTTTTATTGTGTATTTTCTTGGGGCGTTACAACTTGGTATCAGAACTACCAGGTTTGAATACTAGGGGTTCGTGGGAAGTGGTTGTTTTGCCACAATGGGTTCATTTCGCATGA